CACACACACACACACACACACACACACACACACACACACACACACACCAGAGAGAAGAGAGAGAGTTAATAAATCTAGCGAGGAAGAAGCAGGCACTAGAGCTGTCCGGGGAGAAGATAGCCTTTAAATAAATCTAAAGTGCTCTTGCTCTTGTGATGCAGGCTCCTCCGCTCCTGATTTCCAGCAAAGCCCTGTTGCTGAGGCCTCTTCATTTACAGATGCCCACAGACATTTTTAGACACTTGTGAGCTGATCTCCAGCTCAGTGCACCTGGCTCTTTCATCTGGAGGGAAAGGAGGGGGATTTACAGAAGCATTTGCCCCTGCCCCAACTGGGCAGGGATCCCTTCCCCAGCCCAGCATCTTACTCCTCTACCCCACCCCAGGCTGCTGCTCCACTTCCTAGGAAAATTCAGGAAGAGGCCAACCAGCTAGGCAGGGCCACAGAATGGATCCAGTCTATTCGATTCAGAGGCTCACCCCCTTTGCAGCCCGCCACCCACCCATCACCTTCTGCAGAGCTCTTCTCTGTCTTTGAGCCACCCAACCCTGCAGGCTTCCCTCTCACCCCCGCCCCCGCCCCCTGTGATCCCCAGAAGGATGTCCTCTGAAGGAAGAGGGCTGCCACCAAGTTGGAGAAACTTAGATGGTAAAGGTTGGTGTACCCTGGTCCTCCTGGAGGATCCTCAATCTGCAGAAGGCAAGTAAGGGCTGGTAGCCCTGGGCTTACCACGAGCACCGGGACGCCAGCAGCCAGCGAGTAGAGGAGTACAGGGGGCACGGCGCTGCTGTCCTCTGGGCCCGGATAGGGCTTGCGGTAGGCGCTGTCGTGGCAGAAGAATCCCTGCACGTTCACAGTGAACGTGTCCGTGTATTCGAAGTAGTACGCCAACATCACCGTCCCTGCCATGATCACCATCTGGAAATAGAGCATGCTGCTGATGAGCGCCGCGGGCAGCAGGGGCATGCACGCCTCCCGGCCAAGTCGAGCCGAGCGGGCGGCCGACGAGCCACAGGCCCCCTC